ACACAATGATGATGCTTCTGGACTCTGAGTGTGTGTCTATGTCCACAAAAGGGGGAGAGGTTCCCAGCCAGATCCCACAGATAATCAGTTGGATCAAGAAGCAGATGGGAACCACAGCATTAGAAGCCCCAGACAGCAGCAACCGCCTCATGGTTCTTCCAGGTGTCAAGGCCTTGAATGCCAGGATCACAGTCAGGGTTTTGGCCAAAACAGCAGAAACGGCCACAGTGAACACAAGTCCGAAGGTGATTTGGCGGAGAATGCAGCTGGCTGTGTTGGGACGGCCAATGAAGAGTAAGGAGCAGAGGAAGCAGAGGAGGAGGGAGAGGAGCAGGACATAGCTGAGGGCCCGGTTGTTGGCCTTGACTATGGGAGAGTCTCGATGCTTCACAAAGACCCACAAGACCCCTGCAGTGATGACAGAGAAGCCCAGAGCTGTACAGGCCAGAACCATCCCCAAGGGATCTTCATAAGCAAGGAAGCTCACAATTTTGAGCAGACAGCAGTTCCTCTCGATGTTGGGATACTGACTTTGAGGGCACTTCGTACATGTATCACTATCTGGTCAGAAAAGTTAAATGGAGTTTAAAGAAAGAAAGGAATGACATGTTTCAAACTCAGAATATGCTGGGTTGAAGGGATTTTGTTTTAAACTTTTCATTTTCCCCTTATCTGGCAACTCACTACTTCTTGTTTAAACCAAATATCAACTATTTATGAAGAACCATGTGACATTTTTAAGTAGCACTTGTTAGTGACATTTGAGTAGCCTCCACCCATGGTGCCCCCCTGAGGGCAGTACAAAACTGGACTCCAGGTGGTTTTCTGTAACTGTGATCTAAGGGACCAGTCTGTCTTCTGAGCTACGTTTTGGGAAAATTCAAAATGTGCTTACCTCCTTGTGCCACTCAGGGACTCCAGGAGGCTGATTATCTGAGAGAGAGGGCAACGGTTGTATTTTGTCAATTCCTACCTGTTTGATTAGACATTTCTCCCTCTGGACATGAAAAACAATCAAAACAGCAAATAGGCTTTCCTTTCTGAGTGATTTTCATGAATCCTGGGTCACAGCTATTGCTACACACGGAGTGAGGAGTCTGGAAGAAGGAATTCAATGACAATAGTTCAGTAGTCCTGTATGAACCGATCATATTACCTTAGAATGTGATTACAGTGCAAACAAGGTTTTGTTTTTATTTAATGATCCTGAGGCAGAAGAGCCCGGATGATCCTGATTCACAATGACCCTACTCCTATAACACACGGTATGACAGCCCCATCAGGATCCATGTCTCTATTCTTTAAGGAAGCATATCAACAGGGCTTCTTGAGTTGGAGCCAATCCAAGTTCCTATCACCACCCTTTCAGTTAACATCCAAGATTTAACTGTTGA